GATCTAAGGTTCATAGCGTTCTGTTGTACAAGATCCTCTTAAAGAGGCGAGTACAGAGCATACTGGCTTAAACATATATCACTGAGAACATAATACTATAATAGGATCAAGAGTTTTCGAAAGAGAGGAAAAGAGGTTTAGCAATCCATGAGTAATAAGCACACAAGAAGTTTTATTGCAAACTCGACTTGGTTACAAACTGAAAGAGAACCTCCTTATATAGACTCGGAGAGGATCTCATGAGAATAACAAATAGCAAGCATTTTACACATGAGCCAATCCTGATTGGCTCCCTAAAAGCTAAATACAGTAAAGGACCCCCGTGGGGTGTGACTCATACAACTAGACAAACTATTATGACTCAAATGATAAGAACGGGTACAAACAATGGACCTACATGGTCATGACTTATACAAGCTGTCATACACACTTATTGTATATTGAGGGCAGACAGTACGAAAAGTAGATTCCCATTTTTATCCTTTTTTGATGATGAGCTCGTGACTAGGAGAGAGATTCGGATCTGATGCATCTGAATCGGAACAGCTGTCTATCATCAATTCAACATAGTAATCATCTTCGTCTTTATCTCCTAGATCATTAGCTGTTTGGAACTGCGGTGCTCGTAAAATGACTTCTGATTTGAAGATCTTTCCGTCGGTTGCTATGAAGAAGGTATCTTCCTTTTTCCAGAAATGCGGTGGTAAGATTTCTGGGTTCATCATAGTCTTAGAAGCACCTGTATCAAGAAAACCTATAACCTTAATAGGTTTCTCATACTTGGATGGTAGGATCTCAATTTCCACATTGGGATGTGAAGGGACAACAGTTGTCATACTATCGCATTGATCAACAACGAAGATGGGAACTGAATCTTCCTCTTGGCTATAGTCATCTGTATCACTGCTAGAGTTGTCTGAGAAAGAATCTTGTAGAGCAAATACAGTATCTTCATCTGCAGAACTTTGTTCAGAGTAAAGGGATTCTACTTCATCCCTTTCATTCAGATGTAAAGATGTAATCATCTTTATTGCCTTTTGAGCTTTATTTGGACAGGACTTAGCAAAATGTCCTCTTTTGCCACAGATGTAACATCTTTGTCCTGGATTTTTCCCATGAATTTCCCTTTTCTTAAAAAACCTATAAGGTTTTTTATACTTCTTCTTGAAATGAGATTTGAACTTCTTGCCTTTGAATTTTTTCTTTGAACAGTGGCATCGGTCCTTGTCTTTGCATTTAATTTCCAAGAAGGGTTTTCTGCAAGCTTTGGCATATTTTCCTTTATCTTTCAGCATATTTGAGAAGTACTCATGTTGTCGGCAAAGCTTGTCTACAGCCTCTTGGGTCATCTGATGGATTCTACCCATTGTTAGGCCTGTGAAGTCTTTATTTATGGCAGCAGCCATTCTAGCATCTGTGGAGAATAAGAGAATATCATCTATGTAGATGATAGCATTATCTAAGAGTGGCTCGAGTATCTTTGTTATTGCTTTCTGGAATAGAGATGGTGCTACCTTTAAGCCGAAAGGTAGAACAGTCCATTGATACTGTGCATTGGGTATGCAGAAAGCTGTCTTGTGCCTTTCACTGGGATCAACTCCTAACTGCCAGAATCCAGATTTGAGATCAAATTTAGAGAAGATTTTTGATTCTTTTAGCAAGATAGGCAGAGTGGAAGTCTTGGGTAGTGGAAACTTGTCATCTTTCAAGAAATGGTTGAGAGGCTTGTAATCAACGACTAATCTTTTCTTTCCTCTGAGTCTTTCTGATCTTTTTTCTACGTAGAAGGCTTGGCACGCCCAATTTGATGTCGTCTGTTCTATGAGACCTTGTCTGAGCAGTTCTTGACATTCTTGTTTGGCTAATTTAAGATCAGATGGAGACATGCCTGGATGAGAAGCTTTTGTGGGATTTATATCCTCATTCAGCTTAAATGGCAATTGTACAAAGAAGTCAGGATTTTTCCAGAGTGGTTTTGGATGGGTGAAATCTTTATGATTATCAGAACATAAAGATTTCAGTTGTATCTTGATTTCTTCCAAATCTGGTGGAACTTCAGAAAGAGAGTATAACTTACTGGTTGGCACGAAAGGCTTGAATTCTCCTTTGAATCTGAGTCCAGTTGGATGGATGAGTAGCCTGTGTGCTTGAGTGAAGACATCCATTCCGATTAAGATATCTTTGTTAGGCAATTTAGTTCCAACGACTTTGGACCAAATTATGCATTCTCTGAAAAGGCGGATGCCTACTGGTGCTCGTAAAATGACTTCTGATTTGAAGATCTTTCCGTCGGTTGCTATGAAGAAGGTATCTTCCTTTTTCCAGAAATGCGGTGGTAAGATTTCTGGGTTCATCATAGTCTTAGAAGCACCTGTAT